TTTGTCCGCCATCCCTCTCGTCAACAGCCTGTTTATCACAGACATATCCGCGGCCCTAACGTTTCTCTACATCCAATTTGCAGTTATACTTTTAGTAATGGGCAATGATTCATTTCACGTTAGGTGCTTTCGGCAGGTTACTTGCGCCCACTGTTTGAAAATCGCAGAACAAACCAAAGCTAACTTGTTTACAGGGAAAATTTAGCTTGGCAGTGGCCCGACAATAGGGCATCTGGCGTAGACTGGACGGCAGTCAAAGGAGGAGACACTGGAGCCATTCGTGTCGAATCAAGTAGCCGACGTCAACGTGAGAGTCGGTCAAAACCTGGTCCCCCTTACCAGGTACGAGGTAAACGAGGGAAAAACGGCGATCCCTATGTAGGTCCTTAGCCTTCAAAAACAGCCTAACCCGTTCGGTGTATTAAAGATACCACAGCTTAGGTCTGGGGACTTCAGTTATTATTTTCCAATCATCCACAGCCTTTAGCTTTTTATGGCACCTTTTCCTCAGTCAAAACCTTGCCCCAGTTACCTGTACGTGGGAGGGAAACAGGTTCTGTGGGATACATCGTTGATGAAACATGCATTTAAAGAAGAGGGCAATAATTTACCATCGCCGATTCAATCTGCACAGAGCGAGCTCAAAATAAATGCGGACAAGCACAAAGAGAGTTCCAAGAAGTGATCAGGCGAAGAAAACACTGGCTTCAGAGATCAGATCTCCTCTTCTGGTATTGTCTAGAATTGGCGTTTTTGCATGTATGCACAGTAAACAGTATTCATTGGCAAAAAGTAAATATTTCCGAGCAGAAATCTTGGAATTTGAACGCAACAAATCTAGAGACTAGCGCGAAACGGAGGTATATTCCAGTGGATAACTATCAGGCACACCAAGATGCATGTACGCAGAAAAATCGGTAGATTCCAAACATCGTTTAACCTCTGGTCAAAATGACTCAAAAAACAGAATAAGGCCATAGGCAGGGCCAGTAATTCGGATTCATCCCACACGACTTTTCAAAATGCAAGTGACTTTTCTACCTAGCCAGGCAGTTCAGTGTTTGTGACCAGGCAAAATTGGCAATTACTTCAAAGGATATTTAATTATTTACAAGTAGAAAGACAAAGATCAACTGAGAAGACGCATGCCCTTAAAGTAGGACTGCACCTCCTTCTTAGTGTAGGGACGCAATGCGATTGCGGTGAATATGTCCTCCGGCTGTTCTCGCCAGGTGATAAAATCAACTCCAGCTGCTGTCAGTTTATCCGCCATCACAGGGAGTTCGGACTCCTCAATGGACAAGACTACCTTGTGCATGCGTTCGAGATCGTCCAGGTAAGCTTTGGTATCCACGTGATCACGAAATTTGTGCAGCGCAGCCGTTGCGGCATGACACCCCTGAGCTACGATGGCGCCGAGAGGCCAGCCAAGACGGCTCTTCAAGTCAGAGCGCAGTAAGATGTACTGAACGAGGTATGTGCCGGACATGATGGAAACCTGCAAAGCATCCAAAGAAATTTAGCGCCGAGCCTGAGCAATCGGAGGAAGGGGATTTAAAAGCTAGACAGTGTAAAACCTATCAAAGTAGACTTTGGGCAGTTCGTGTCGATGTTTTCATTGTTGAACAGAAACACAAAGGACCTCCAACTACGCAAGTATCTTAAGATGTGTTTTTTACTGCGGTGCGAAAAATTTCGTTTGGTGGAAATATGGTCCTCTAGTCCTCAAATGGTTTTCTGGGGGCAGCGAGGATAGGAATAACTTAAGTGACGACAGCGCAGTCAAAGGGCCTCTTTCAGGGTGATCGCTTGCCAGATCCAGAAGCTCCTTATTTTATGCCAACCCTTCATTGGAATCTGTTTTTCCACCTACTAAGCAAAGACGAATCTGGTGGCTAACACCCTATTTTAAGATTGCGTCCCATCCGCCAGTCTCCCGAGAACTGTGGTGGCGGAGACTATTCAGTGTTTTCACCGTTTTTCTTGATTAAAAGGTATGTTTACGGTAAATAGCACACCAGTGAGCCTGGTACAGTAAATAAGGACTCTTTTCCAGAAAAATAAGATAGGAGGCGACTGAAATTTCGTTTGCTTACGGAATCTAAGCAACCTGCCGGAAGATTCTCTAGGGGCCAACCGACAGCAAAGATGCGCGTGACGGACTACGTTGTAAGCCAGTGAGACGCAGGATCTCTACTTGTCAAAAAATTTCGTAATATCGTATCGATATCGTATTTTTATAATCGTTAATTAGATGGACTAAGACAGCCTGACATCGATTAATTAAAGCCTGAATGGTAAGTCTACGGAATCGTCGTTTACTGCAGCACAAAACAGAACTTCCAGTATGTATTGACAAATTTCAAATATAGGTTTTAAGTTACAACTACTAAAGTAAAAAAATGTAAAGATGAAACTACAGAACGCTTTCTATAAACTGTGTACATGGAATGGAAGAAAACAAGGTTTACTCAAAATGAACATGTGGTTAGGGTATATCTTGTTTAAGCTATTATTATGCAATACGCATAGACAGACTATTTAGCGTTGTTAGTCCCTGAGCCCATCTCCAGTTGCCTTACCATTGTCCTGCTATCGGGACGATAAAGGAAGCGAGGCAGACGTGAGAACATGTCTCCAGGTCTGATCTCGAGGTCTCGTTCATTCCACGCAAACCAAAAATACTACTATTTACTTCCCGAGTCGCTTTCTCTTCACTCATACTCGAAAACAAAGACAAAATCATATTTCACTTTTGCTAATTACGCTGTGTATCCTTTGATAGCTCAATCTTTTCCATTCACTCTGCGTACACTTTCCAAATAGCCTAAGTTTCTTGATGCATATAGCATTATATATATTCGCTAAAATTTTGGATCAATGAGAACAGCCAATGAATACGAACGGACGGCTTGCCAGCGCGTACCCCATTCCGTTTTAATGTGTTCGGTGCAAACGATCATCGTTTCAACAAAAGTGCCACTACACCCAACTTCACCGGCCCCTATGAAGCAATTGCGACAGTTAACCGGACGGTAGAGCTGCAATCGGAACCTTGACTCCCTTTTCGAGGTCGACGACGACTATCAGGCCAAATTATTATGCCTCGAAGCATTGTGATTGCCAGACGCCAAGTCAAATGGCAATTTGCATAAAGCTTCTATTATTCTCCCGGTACCTAAGTCTCAGGCATGGGTGTCCTAGAAAACATTACTAACCGATTCATTTATAATATCCGTTGGGCGAATATATCCGAGTTTATAACAATACCTAGCATCGACCGAACTCCCCTTCCTATAGCGTGAA